GACCAAGTGTAAAATAAACTGGAGCTGGGAGGACCTGTGAGTGATTTACCCATTGAATAGGTAACTAAAACGCAAAGAAAATCTAAAACTCGAGGACATATGGGTAATTTACCCAAAAAAACACAAACAGACACTTCTCTTCTTCTCTCTTTTCTGCTCGCACGACCAGCCACAAGGGCCCCTTCTCATCGGCCAAACGACAACCACCATAACCAGTAGTCCTCACATACCCCAACCAACATCGAATCAAACCGTGAAACCGAACCGACTAAAAAAGAATCCAAAACCCCCTTTAACTTACTCTAACTCCTCGGTCGAACTCAAACACCCTATTTGGGTATCGTTCGTCTTTCCGACCACCATCCATGGTGGTCGAGATGTTACACTAGAACCACCAGCGACACATAACCACAATCAATGCCTACACCCCACCACATTTACGTAACAAAAATAAAAAAATGAAAGAAAGCAAAACGTGAAGGAGAGAATCAAAGCCTTTTTTTAATTTATGTTTTAAGACTTACAAAATTGGGGGGGGGGGTGAAATCTGCTTTTGGATTAGTTTTTAAAGCCCCCAAATTACAATAGGGAAATATTACAAACTTGGTTCCTATACTTTGTTCTTTCTTTTATTTTAAGACAAAATTAGGGTATTACAGGCTGTACGGTGGTGGCTTCATTGCGATGGCTAGGCATTAGAGGAAAATTAGGAAAAATGAGAATGAAACAATTAGAGATTTGGAACCTGGTAGGTTAAAAAGATTGTACAATTGTGGCGTTTATTACAAAAACACAGCTAAAGTACATGATTATTGCGGCGTTTATAAAAAATGCCGTTAAAATGCATGAATATTGTGGCATTTACTGTAAAAACGCTATTGCGGTGTTTATTACAAAAATACCACTAATGTAAATGACTATTACGGCGTTTATAAAAAAAATCACTAAAGTACATAACTATTGTGGCGTTTATTACAAAAACACTGCTAAGATGCATAACTATTGCAATTGCAGGGTTTATTATGAAAAACGTCACCTTATAAGAGTCAATCGTCGCTAATGTCTTTATTTTGTGGCATTTTACCCGTAAACGCCGCTTTATGTTCAAATTTTATGGCGTCTTATTTAAAAGCACCGTTACATAACAATATTACTGTAATGACTGCGACTTACCAGCCCAAATGTATTTATCGGGCGATCGGTATTCTCTCTGATCCGCGCTGATAACCTCCAAAACCTGTCGATGAGCTCCAAATTAAGGAAGGCCTCTTTTGGACCCTCAGCTTCCGACGTGGTTAGCACTGTCCCTCCAAAGAAAGGTACTAAAAGCACGTAACCTCGGACCAGAACCGGAGCCAAATCAGGTGAACCAGCCCTAGCTGGACCGCTTAGTTATGAGAGATATTACCACCGGCTGAGCTACCCGATATGAACACCTTGCTAAAATCCGCTACATCATCTGAACACGGATCAGGATTCGCAGCCAGAGCTTGCGCTTGGAGCCATTTCACTGCCGTGTAACCATCCTCAATGGCTGCCGGAAGCCTATTCTCCGGAGCCAAGCGATAATCCGGCAAAATCACAACAGCTTCCTCCGAAGCAAGGCGGAAGCAGTAGTTTTGACAGTTAGGCCATGCGCGTGACCCAAATGCAAAAACGACATCTTTCCACACGATGGAGCCATCATCGTCAACGGGAGCATAGTAGATGAAGAAGGTGAGGATGGCTTATAGAGCCTAAGCTGAAGGTCGTGATGAGGATCAAAGATGACATCTTTCCACACGATGGAGCCATCATCGTCGACGGGAACGTTGAAGCTTGGCTTAGAAGAACGCCAAATGGAGCCGTCTCTGTAAACACGAAGGCTCCTCGGCATTCATCGACTTCATAGGGAGGGGTAGCCATGTTTAGATATCTTTGCTCTTTCAGCTGGTATTTTGAGAGGTTAATAAGAAGAGTAAAGGGAATGAAGGAGAAAGTGGGAACAAAGAAAAAGTTAAAACGGAGGCGTCTATTTTCCGGTAAGGGCTGCCTTTAACTTGGCCAATGGCGATTTGTTCTTGTAGTTTTCTGCTGGTAGGTTTAGTACGACAATTGGCTTTAACTATCACGTCACTGTCAATTTGGTTCTTGAAATTGAAAAATTTCATACGAATTATTATAATTAATTATTTCGTTCATTAGATATTAAACTATCAACATCAGTTGATATCACATGACAGAAAAATAACACAAATTTAGCAGTCAAACGATATGGTAATCTTCATCTAAAAGCATAATAAAATGACAAAACTGTTTTCCCAGTATGTTGAGTACACCAAATATGAAGTTCATGGTGCGAATCAGCGAATGGGATGGATATACATTTTCTCAGGCTTGTTTTCAGAAAATGAACACAGGCAATCGAAGTCAGCAACGTGGTCAGTAGTATCGAGAAGAGGTCCACGGCATTGTTGTCGAGACAGTTAAGGCCTGAAATCTTCCTCACCCTTGGCCCAGTCTTTCCAACAACCTGCAATGAGATTAAACAACAAATCATATATATTGGTGCCGCTGGGACATTGTTTCCCATTTTCATGGCCTATTTGCATCGGACATACCTTGTTTTGGACGGGGCAGAAGCCGCGGAATTGAAGGGCTCCTCCCAGCGGAGAATCTATGACGCTTCCGAAGAGTCCGGCCACGGCAGAAACGGGTATAACCAATAGCTGCTTCATGGCCGGTCCATCTGAACAGCTTGTGGTGAAAATTTGGACAAGGACAAATGTTAAACCGATGGTAGTCCCCGCAGACAATGCTTATAGGAGTCCTATTTCCGTCACACCTCCGTTTGTGCCCCTTTGACCACCCTGATAATCATTTACTGTTACATTAGATAACCATATCCAGAACAATAAGGTCTTAAATAAGATTTGGGAAGAAGGAATATCTACCTTAAAAGTGGTGATCAACCGCGGTCGGGCAATCCTGAGAAACCCTATCTCCGAGGACCAAGAATCGCCATTGCGGCAAGACTAATGACCGATTATACCGCCGATTAATACCGTGACAAGAGTCGACTCTTTCGAGTCCAGGCAATTGTCCTCCCATCCAGTTAGGTTCCCAAGTCCCACACACAGAGCTGCCGCAACACCACTATTGAACAAGATTTGTATCCTGAAAATGAAGAAATCGGGGAATTGCAAGTTCAATTGAATATATCCATCATCATATATATTGAAGTTCAATTGTTCAAATCATTGTGAAAGAGAGTTATGAATGTACCAGTTTCTTTTTCCACCTTCCTTAAAATCAGAGCCAAATCTGCTTAACTTGGACGAAGTAATGATGAAGACCAGCAACATTGCACCGAACTTGAAATTCCAGTTTCTTGACGACTTTCTTGGCAGCCAAACAATGTAAAGAAGAAGAAAATAAAAAAGAAAGGACAGGACCTGTATCCGGCAGCGAGGTGAACAGTCATGAGGGGAAATAGGGCGAAAGCTCCGGGAAATCAAGGTACTTGATTCTCAAGTATCTAAACGCCACTAAGGAAGAGTATGAAACAGCGATCAATGGCTCGATTAGACTTCTCTCCATCTTCTTTCTTGCTTCAATCTTCACTCCAAACAACCGTTTATATAGTTGGTGTCGGTTGGGAAAATGATAGATATAGTTATAACGGTTTGTTTATTGTTTCACGCTGACGTTGTATATAATATTTTGATAAAATATCAATTTAGTCCTCCCTCTTTCTTTACAATCAAAAAGCAAAGCTCGTCCATTTGGTTGAGAGCATTTAAGACTGATATTATTTTATAATCATCTTAGCTTAATAAAAAAAAAAAAACTCATCCAGTTTCCTTCTTCATCTGCCATCGCTAGCTGAAGCACACGCTTTGGTCTCACTCCACCACTACCGACGTTACTACCGCTCTCAGTCCAACGCCTTTCTAAGGCTAACCCATTGTCGATCTCCATTCTCCATTCTTATCACGAATCCGTCAATCAACCTTTCTCTAAATTCAAGTTGGAACTTGGATTAGTTATATGAGTTGTTGTCGGGACTAAATTAATAATATATCTAAAATTTATGAGTTAAATTAAAATTAATTTTTTTTGTTAACATGTCTAATGGGAGTTAACACTTCGATGATTAAATTATAATTTATGGATAACATAAATAGCTGAAAACATAACATTTAAAAGTTGGATAAATGACGTCCATTATAGTTTATCCAGATAAATATGTATATATATCCACATAGTTTACTCCATTACATTCTTATCGTATGTATAATACATATATAATATTTGCATTCTATATACATAATTGTTGTATATATATTATAGTTATATTTAAATATTTATTTAAAATATGTTTGTATAATACTCGCGTATATTGTATACAGTACATAATTTTTAATAAACATAACTAAAAACCATTACCTCAATGTACTTAATAATGGAATACAAGATCAATATAAATTTATAAACAAACTCTTTACCATCATTACCTAAAATATGAAATGTTTTCTTTCACACCTGGTGTGTGTGTATAATCAAACTTATTATTGATCTCATGACAGATTTTGGTGTCACACGTTAGGTGTGCTAACTCACTCGATAAATGACTAAAAATCTTCATTTTGAATAGTAGTAATTAATATACTTATTTCACATTATTATAATACTTTTTTGGATAAATATGAATATTTTGACCAAAATTAACTCAAAACTGTACATCACAACAACTAACAAGCCCAACCCTATAACTATGCATGAATCCCACTCTATACAGAAGACCCGACTAAACCGACTCCAAATCTTTCCTTCATGCCCATGAGCTTCAGCCTCACCACCTCTTAATAATATTATTGTTATCCTTTTCATATTTTTATATAAAATAACTAAAAATCATCATTTAAAGATTAAACATAGATTTAAAATCTTTATTTTTAATAGCAATTAACATACTTCGAACATAAATAGTATTTTAGAAGTTCATGATAAAAATGGGATATATTTTATCAGATTCTTTCAACATTCTCGCAAGAGTATGCTGTGCTGTCTACGCTTAAACAGAATCAAGGAATCAGAAAATGTACACGCAGGCAATTGACGTCAGCAGTGTGGTCAGTAGTACCGAGACGAGGTTCACGGCATTGTTGTCGAGAAGGTTAAGGCCTGAAATCTTCCTCACTGTTGGTCCAGGTTTTCCGACAACCTGCAAAGAGACTTTAAAAATGAAATCATGATGGAAGAAAAGCTTATGGTTTACTTATCATGGCATGCTGGGAGATCTTTTTGCATTTTAAAGGCCCGTGTTTTAAAAAAATCTTCGGCATTGCATTCGATATACCTTGTTTCGGACAGTGCAGAACCCACTGAATTGAAGGGTTGCTCCCAGCAGAGAATCTATGAGACTTCCTAAAAGTCCAGCCACTGCTGAAAGGGGTATAACCAATAGCTGTTTCACGGCCATTCCATCTGAACATCTTGTAGTGAAAAATCCGAAAACAACAAATGTTAAACCGATGACACTCCCTGCTGCCAAAGCTGCTAGAAGACCTGTTTTCGTCACACCTCCATTTGTGCCTTTTCGAACAGGCTGATATACACACACAACAAGAGAAGCAAAGTCTTTTCCCATTATATCAGGTTGGTGATTATGCATTTAAGACAATATCCAAGTGATCAAGAATGCCTATTCACTTATAATTGTTCCTTGAAATAACCAAATTGACTTCATCAATAACATGACAACGAAGGTTGCAACCTGGAGTAGAATGTCAACTGGATAGTTGCTTTAACTTAAAAGGAAAAACCACCAGATACATTTCTCCAGAATAGATTCTGATTTGATCTTCAGAAAAACAATATGTTAGGGGAAACGTTGTTGGTAACTTAGAGCAGGCCACAGTGGAGACTGGAGAGGAGGGTAATGCGACTCTAGATAGACAACAATCCAAAACAATATGTTCCTACACGAAATTTGGGGAAAGAATACCTACCTTAAAAGTTGTGATCAACCGAGGCTGGTCTTCGCTAAGAACCCCAAGCTCTGAGGACCAAGTATCCCCATTGCAGCAAGAATAGTGACCAATAATACCACCAATTAAGGACGTGATAAGAACCGACTCTTTCGAGTCCAGGCACTTGTCCTCCCATCCAGCGAGGTTACCAATAGCCAGAGACAAAACTGCTGCAATGCCGCTGTTGAAAAAAACTTGTATCCTGAAATGACGAAAAATAGGAATTACACAGTCAAAAGAAAGAATCTACAAACCAATATACCCTTTTCTACTACAAATATATCACAAATTCTTACTCAGATTCATCATAAAAGGAACTTCAAATCATTGCTCTTGAATATTTCCTCTTTTTATCTCATCAAAAATTTCAACCCTGACCTACCAAGATTAGCTCATTCAATTCCTGGTAAATTTCATTAGGCAATGACTATCTCTAAATTTACAAATCATCCTTCCATCAACAACACGTGATTCATTATTACTGCAAAAAGCTAAACACTTCCATTCCCTTTTTGCTCAATCTTTTTACCCACTTGACTTTCACAACCAATTTTGAAATAAAAATTCGTTGATTTTAAGAGAGCTATGATCTACCAGTTCCTTTGCCCTCCTTCCTTAAAATCAGCGTCAACTTGTCGCTTCTTCTCTTCTCCAACTTTGGTAAGCTTCGATGAGGTAAAGAAGAAGGCAAGCAACATTGCACCGAACCTGAAATTCCCATTTATTGATGACTTCCTTAGCAGCCAAACAAAAAATATACAAGTAAAGAAAAAAGAAGAAGAAGAAGAAGAAGAAAAGACCTGTATCCAACGGCGAAGTGAATAGTCATGACGAGAAATCCGGCGAGAGCTCCGGATAAATCGAGAGACTTTCTTCTATAGGATCTAATCGCGATTAAGGAAGAGATTAAAACAGCAATTACCGGTTGTATTAGAGCTTTCTCCATCCTCTTTCTTGGCCCTCTCAAACTGGGAAAAGGGAATGTAATGTAGCAGATGATTTTCAACGATTCAAGGTCAAAAATGTCACGCCATGGTCCAGTCTTCTACTAAATCACTATATATTATCTAATACCTATACAATTAAGATATCAAAAGGGTACACTACATGACCACCCAACTATGGACAAGAACTCTAAATTACCATAATTTTTAAATTTGTATTAATATGACCCTTAAACTATTTAAATGCTTTCATATAGCTACCAACCGTTAACATTTAACGAAAGTTATATATACGCGACGTTGGAACCTTACTTTGTTTTCTTCCATTTTAGTCATTACTTGTATATAACGTTTCTTTGGATTTTCATTTAATACAATTTAATCTTGATTCTGTTTTTAATTTCTCTAATGCCTTAATTTGAGCACTAACCTTAAAATCTTTTATTTTAGTCATGTATTAAATTTATAGATTAAATCCACTATATTTTAGAATTTATTAATTTGATCACCAACATTAACTTTAATTCTTAATTTTTAATTAGGTCCTAATTTTAATTTAATTTAATAAATTTATTTCTCCAATCAAATTGTGACACATGTCACAATCTGATTTGAGGGTTCTTTTAATTTAATTTAATAAATTTTCAATCTAATCAAAAGGTGACACATGTGACCTTTTGAATTGAAGTGAAAATAAATGAAGATGAGTTTTGATACCCAAAGGAATCCAACTTGGGTCCCAAAGGGTAATCTACACATGCCTTAACAATTGAGCTAATTCTAACACTTGTTATTAAGATAATACATATGTTATATAAATGTTCAAGTTTAGGCAGAAAAAAAATTAAAATAACTTAATTGGATTTGAACCCAAAATGAATTAGTAACCAAACAAGCCTTAACCAATAAGCTAAATCTAATATTTAGAAATCAATTATAATATATATATATATATATATATATATATATATATATATATATATATATATATATATATATATATATATATATATATTAGTTAATGATAAAAAAATAAAAACGGGTAAGTGAGAACTTTCATCTAGGCCAATTGAGAATATGCCAACACTTAAATAACTAAAATAAATTTAATAGTTTATTTATAATTGATTTAAGATTTTAATATTTTTAAACTACATTTATTGTTTTTATATTTATTTTTTAATGATTATATATATTTAATTATTAAAAATAATTTAATATTCAACTTATAATCTTAAGAAAAAATTATTTTAAATTGTGCTCGTGAGTTTGGATATGTTAAATAAATTTTTAATTTAATTTTAAATATAATTTCATATATATATATAATCATTAATAAATAAATATAAAATAAATAAATTTAATTTAAAAATATTAAAATCATAAATTAATTATAAATAATATATTAGATTTTTTAACAATTTAAGTGTTATTATATTCTCAATTGGCCTAGATTTAAGTCCTCACTTGTCTATTTTTATTTCCATCATTAAATATAATATATAATATATAATATATAAATATATTTTAATTGATCTTGATTACTAATTGATCTTGGTTACTAAATAATCTTGGGTTCAAATACAATTAAGTTATTTTAGTTTTATTTTTTTGCCTAAACCTGAACAAGTTATATAACATATGTATTATATTGATAACAAGTGCGAGAGTTGGCTCAGTGATTAATTCTAAAATATAGGGGATTTAATCTATAAATTTAATACATGACTAGAATAAAAGATTTTAAAGTTAATGCTCAAATTAAGCGTTAGATAAATTAAAAACAGAATCATGATCAAATTGCATTAAATGAAAATTCAAGGAAACAAATAATATACAAGTAGTGACCAAAATGGAAGAAAACAAACAAGGGTGTCGGCGCTGCAAATATGTGCAAATATGTAACTTTACAAGGACCCATGCTCTAATTATATTAATTTTGTTAACTGCCACGTAAACACCTCCGTTAAATGTTACGGTAGGTGCCTATATTGAAACCATTTATATATTTCAGTGGTCATATTAACACAAATTAAAAATAGTGGTTATTTCGAGACCAATCCCCATAGTTGGGGGTCGTTTATGTAGTATACCCTAAAATGTGACATATGTCTATATTTCACAACTTTCGAAGGATATTTTTTTGAATAAGTCAAAAGTGAAAAACAACATTTAAACAAGAATTAGAAAATACTTGTGTAAAGTATAAATGATATGACGTTATTTTGTTAAGTCTCTTATTATTAAAAATTATAAAATGATATTTCAATTATAATACATATTAGTTTTATTTGGTCTTTCAACTATTAAAAGTTATACATAGTCATTCAATTATTCATATGTTTCAAACTCACCCTTTATCATATAACAATCAGTATGCTTACATTCAACTGAGACTATCGTCAATTTTTAACAGAAAATGACGGATTTAGAACATATAGATATTTAAGTGATTATTTTGTAATTTTTCATAGTCGAGATATTCAACAATATAATATCTATAGTCAAAGGATCATTTCATAATTTTTAATAATCGAAGACTCAACAAAACAGTATCTCATCTTATAATCAAATGACTATTTGTATATTCTATCCAAAATACTATAACAAATAAGTGAGAGAAACATATAGCATCGGAACAATGGAAACACAGCCGCCCAACCAAAAAAAAAAAAAAAGCACCAGATTAAATAACACCGATCACTCCGTCTAAGTAGATAATTTTTGGGTAAACTACTTGAATGATCATTCAATTATAAAGTTGGTATCAAAATTACCATTATTTTTAAATTTATGTCAATATGACCATTAAACTATTTAAGTGTTATCATTTAAGTCACCTACTATTAAAATCTAATGGAGGGTGATGTGACAGTTAACAAAAATTTATATAATTATACATATAATCCTCAATACTTGTATATTATATTAATTTAGTTCTAATTTAAATTTAATTTTATATATTAACCCTTCCATCGAGAGGTAACACGTTTCAATACATGATTATGCCACATGTCACTAGTGCCACATGTTACCACCTAATTGGAAGAATTTTTTTATTAATTTTAATTTATTTAATTAAATAGATAATAACTTACATTTGTGGGGTTTGAACTGGAGTTCTCAAGGGTGGAAATGGGTTGCCCAAACCATCATGTCAACTGCTCTATTTGTTTTGGTAATTACTAATTACACTAACATTTATTGATCTCATAAAATTATTAATGATATAAAAATAAAGACATAAAAATATTCAAATGATATTTAAATTTCAATATTTTTTATATTTTTTAAAACAAATCAACTTCAGTTTAGTATTTTATTTTTAAAACCAAATTTAATATTTTGTTTTATATTTTTAATCAAAATTTATGAAGGAAATCATGTAATATAAAAATATTTTTATAAATTTAAACAAAATAAATTTTATATTTTTATATTTTTAAATAATTGAATTTAATGTGAAATTTAGAATTAAAGAGAAAATTAATTTCTTATTTTATTTTAAAAAATTTAAAATACTTAATACAAAATTAAAAAAAATTATGGAAAAAGCCATGTAAGATATAAAAATATTTTTGTTTTTATATTTAATACAAGATTTAAAATTAAAATTAATTTTCTTTTTAATTCTAAATTTTATATTAAATTCATTTATTTAAAATATAAAAATTTATTTTTTTTTAAAAATTTATAATAATATTTTTATATTAAATTATTTCTTACATAAATTTTATTTAAAAATATAAAATATTGAATTTGATTTTAAAAATAAATATTAAACTTATTTCAATTTGTTTTAAAATATAAAAATATTGAAAGTTAGATATCAATTGAACATTTTTATTTCTTTATTTTTATATCACGAATGATATTATGAGATAAATAAATGTTGGTGTAATAATCAAACTATAGTCACTCATTTTCGCTCGGGGTGCTATTTAATATATATAAAAACATATATAATATATAGTTTTTGAAAACGTTTTGAAAACATATATATAATATATAGTTTTTGATTTTTTTTCGAAAATATCTATTATATAGTTTTTGAAAACATTTTTAATATATATATATATATATATATATATATATAATATAGATTTTGAAAATATTTTGAAAAAAATATGTAATATATATTTTTTGAAAACATTTTGAAAATATATATTATATAGTTTTTAAAAATATTTATATATTATATTATAGTATATTATTTTTATTTTCTTTCTATTTGTTTTGTTATTTGGTCCAAATAGAGAATCCAAAATCCAAGTCCAAGGTTCAAGTCCAAATCCATAAAGGATGAAGGAGCTCAATCGGTTGACAGGCCTGACCCAGCAAACAAGGGGTTTCAACTTAAGTAAAAGCACCGCACGATTCTTAGCCGTGGGATCAGGCATCAATCGAAGGGCCCAGATCGCATATCAACTAGGGTTTCTAAAACCCTAAGAATGTTATCATGCATCGGACGATCTCGAGCCGTTGGATCTGCAGTCAATCCAAAGGCCTGAAATAGAGACTAGTCTTAGGTTCTTCAACAGCCCTCAATCGTCGAGCAAAGTGGAGTTCGGTCGATTTGAAGAAATCATCCCCTAGTGTGAAACTATTTTTCCAGTAACAACAATAATCAACCCAACAACGTGATTCCATAGAATTCAAAAACATGTATTTCTATCCTAATGAAACACTAAATCGAATGTAAAATAAGAGACTTCTAATGCTATAAATCCTTGCAAAATCAAACAAAAAACAGGTTAGAATCAAGAAAAATAGCACTTGTAACTCGAAAGGAAATCAATAAAAAAAGGTATTCTTCTTCTCGGCTTGCTTGAATGTGGTATTCTTTAGGATTTTATTTGTTTTTTTATTTTCGAAAGGGAGTAGCCAATGATCGGGGGAGGGTTTTTCTAGAAATCTTTCTCAAATCTAGCCCTCCCTTAGGCTTTTTTGTGAAAACAAAGTGGATTTTCGAGAAGAAGGGATCAAGGGCTTTCGAAAGATATAATTTTTTTTGAGTTTTGCCGTCGATGAATGACGGTCGGCGCCGATCTATGGCGG